TGTGTGTGTGTGTGTGTGTGTGTGTGTGTGTGTGTGTGTCCTGGTTGACCGTTTTCCTGGAGGAAAAGAAAAAAATGGAGGGCTGAAGATTAGAAAGGAGTGAACAAGACAGGAAGGAGAGAAGAAGGAAAGAACCAATAGAAAAATGGGAAAAAGGAAAAGAAAGAAATGAAAGGAAGTGAGAATTGTAATGCACAAGCATCAGTACAAGAGGGAGAAAGAGGGAAAATGTGCAACTGACAGAACTGAAAAGAAAAAGTGGGAACAAGAAACAAGGAATTGATTCATTAATTATGATGGAAAATGGGAGTAAATACGGGGGAAGAAAGAAAAATGAACGACAGAGTAAAGACTGTGAGAAATAGATAAGAAATACACTGAGAAATGAAGAGAATGCTTCAGAGAGGCAAAGATAAAAAGGAGAAATTGTTTTTTTTAATTTACTGCTGCTGTAGGACATCATCATCACATGTGCTGCGTGATGACAATAAAGTCATTCAGATGGCAAGGTGCTCAAAGGATTTCTCTACACTGGCTCAGTATTTCACTCATGATTCATTCCTGTCCTAACTGACTGACTAACTGAGGCTCGCGCACACACCAGCACCAACCCAAACAAAGGGTTATGGTTAAAGTGTCTTTGGTTGGGATCGATCTTTAAATCTGTAAACACCTCGTGACTCACCGGTTTGTCCTGTGTTGTTCAGGTGGTCTTCGTGAGCACCTGCAGGAGTTTCTGGGACTGTGGCTCTGTGGCTTTGGATGACATCAGCGTGAGCCTTGGAGACTGCGAGCTGGTGGCAGGTAACAGCTACAAAAAAGCACAGAGAGAGAAAGAGATGTTTTTATTTTATAACCCTGCTTTCAAAGAAAAAACCCTACTAGCCTAAAAACAAGAAGCTGGAACCCTGCTTCTTCTCTTATTCTGCATATTGATTTTCCTCTTGTAGGCCTGCTGTCGTCTCTTCTCCCTGGACGCTGTGATTTTGAAGCAGGGTTGTGTGGTTACACTCAGGACAAGAAGAGCGACGCTGCTGACTGGGAGAGGAGGCGGGGGGCCACACCGACCTCATACACCGGACCCAGAGGGGACCACACGGCGGGACTTGGTGAGTCACCTCTCCTTTTGTATAAATTGATCCTTTCAGTCATTATAAGCCCCTGACCTACACTGTGTGCTCCGCAGGATACTACCTCCACCTGGAGGCGTCGCCGATGCTGCCCGGCCAGAACGCCCGGCTGATGTCCCGCACTGTGAGAGGAACCAGGGGACGGCACTGTATTAGCTTTTTCTACCACATGTATGGGTCGGGCACAGGCCAGCTTAACGTTCGCATCAACAAATATGGAAAGGAAGAGCTGCTGTGGCAGAGGAGCGGCGAGCAGAGCATCGCGTGGCTGAAGGCCCAAGTCGAGTACCAGTGTCACAGCCAGCATCAGGCAAGAGTGGAAATAACTTTCTCCTTAATGCAGAAAAATTTATTTTAAACAGTTTAGATGAAGATGGTGGTGGATGTTGACTGGCAAACAACTCACTTGTGGAACACGTGAGGACAGAACTGTAGAGGAGGGGCGATGATCTCAGTTTCTCTAAGAAGCCGTGCTGAGAAATGAGGATCACTTTAATGTCACTGAGATGCTTTAGTGCTTTCATTTAGCCCTCAAAAATACAAGGCCAGAATTGGCCCTGCAAAGACTCCAGTGTGGCCCACTAGACTGCTTCAGAAAAAATGAAGGAGGTTATGCATTTCTAGAATTTTAACTAAAGTAGTTAAGTAATAGATAAATAATTACATGACAGAAAAGTGACCGCTTAATAAATCCAGGACAGTCTGCGCAATGAGCTACAAGAACGTTTTCTGTAATTTTACATATTTACCATGTAGAAAAACTGAAGAACCGATGCTGTTGAAACTGCTCTTCTTTTTCTTATATTGAGATATCTCAGGGATTAAATGTGTAGTTAAACATATTTACACTGATAGAAAGATCAAAGTGGGCTCAACGTGCTAACAAAACAACTTTAAGTTACCTCTTCATTATACCACTTAAATCAATAACATGTTTCATAAGCTGTTAAGCAGCATAACAAACTAATTCCTGATGTAAAAGTGAAATGATGCGTCTTTAATTTTATTCTTTAACATTATTTTTAGTATCTGACAGGCATGAAAATAACAGCTCAGTGGTTCTGCGAGAAATTTAAAAAGGCAAAAGCAGAACATATATTTTCCTTTTGATAACAAAAGGGATTTTCTTTTGGAAAGAAAATCACCCCAGTGTGGTCTTTCTGCCTCCACTGTGATGAAACTCGTCTCCACAGCTCGATCTCTTTGAGATTTGGCACAGATGAAGATGTTTTTTTCTTTTTTACATAGCTTCAGGCTTCTTTTCAGTTCGACGGCTTTCTGAAGACTGTCATTTTGAAACCACACACAACCAGTGGTACAGAGTCACTGCCCAGGAAACAAAGTAGCCTATAGGAGACTGTGTCATGGAAACATGGGCCTCGCTTTAGTCTCGGTAAGATGAACTCAGTTCGACATCCTCTCTTGAACTATTCTGCCTTCAGCATCAGCTTTGCCCCTGTCAGCCTGCAGGTTCAGTATAATTGGTCCTGTCTGGACGCATCACTGTGCAGACTGCATGCACACGTGGGTGTGCCAGAATATACTGAGTACCTAAAATCAAGAAATTACAACGTTGAGTGAAAGACTCTCGGGGTGAATGGATCTTATCTGCAAACAAACTTTAGCACATTTGATCTCATTTATCCTCTGTTCTGGGTATTTCAACATCTCGGCTGTTTTTATTTGGCTAAATGAAAGTTTCAATAATTAAAGGATCATTTTTAAATTTCGCTCGCTCCCCTTTGCTCTCTCTTCTTTCTCCCCACCACTCCCCCACCCAGTCGAGGCAGATGACTGCTCCTTCATGAGCCAGCCTCTGTTGGACTCCCCTTCATCTTAAAAGGGATTTCTTCCTCCCCACATTCACCAAGCGCTTACTCGGTGTTGCAGGTCTCACTCTAATATTGTAAGGTCTTTATCTTACAATATAAACACATTGAGACGAGGAGCTAAAAAAAAAACAAAAAAATAAACTCATTCTCATAGGTTAGATATGAAAATATTCAGTGGAGTAGGAATTGTGATTAAAAATCTATAAAGAACATTAAAAATAGTAACAGTAAAATTCAATACTGCTGTTAATAAGACAAGAGATTAGTGCTGCAGAAAATTGTTAACCTGGTGATTTAGCTACTAAAGTAAGTACTGAAGCTTTAAACCGCCTGAGTCTATTTGTTTTATTAGCTGCAGTTCCACAGTGTAAAAGAGACTCAACAGCAGATCAGTATAAGTCTAATACATTCATGTGTCACCAAATTAATACATGCACATTCCCACAGTTTTGGCTTTATTCAGTGGTTTTAGTAACGTAGAGCTTAACCTAGCACATATAAAATGTATTCCCTCTGCAGATAATCTGAAACTTGCATAAACATGCTGTAAATAAAAGAATCAGTGAAAACGTGGTACTCCCAACCTGGCCATTTGTTCAACATAGGTTACCATGGTGATTTAGCAAAGTTAAAAAAGGGCCACTATCATGATTCAGAAAACTCTGACTTTAAGCTCAGCCTTGCTCGCTGAGCTGTTAATGTAGCACAGACCTGCATGATCGTCATCCGTGCAGGTCTGTGCTGCAGCAGTATTAGAGCTTATTTATAGGATAATTCAGTCTAACTTGGAGGTAAAAACAGAGCAGGTCACTTTAGTTAATTTGCAATTATTTATTATAACGACTCGTTCATGATTTGAATCAGAGTCAGAGTGCCTGTTATTGTCAGTGCATTGTAAAATACAGTGAAACTGAAGAGCTATTTCTGCAGGTGTTTCAAAATAAATAACACACAGCATAAAAAAAACAAACAAAAAAAA